TGCCAAAACAAACATACACTCTGTTTTGTTCTGACGGAGGAATTATTGACGTCCGGGCCTCATGTCGAGACTTTGTGACGGACGGATTCTCTATGGGGGAAAGGGGCTTGCAAGAAAATGTGAACAGACCTACCCGATGCGACGAACTCTCGTCCTGGCAAAATAGCAGTGGCACTTGTTGGGATTTTGGCTTCAGGAACAGGAAGTGCCCAAGTCCTTTCCGAACTCGAAGGCGACTGCATCCAGAAAGCCACCAGGAATAAATGAAACCTCGGAATGCAGCAGCAGTCATAGCAGCCGCAACAGGGGTTGCGGTTCAGGGTTCAGGGTTTAAGGACCCAACAAAAATTCTTTGGGACAAGCGGCATTAACTCCCTTGGACATTTGGAGCTTGAAGCCTGGCGAGGAGATCTGCCCGTCATGGGGCTTCGGCGTGTATAGTATATAAGCTCATGGAGACATGGCCACTTGTAGTGGTTTCGGGCTGAAGATCTGATTCCTGGTGTCACTGCTACTATCATCATGAGTACTTGTAGTCGTATAGTGGTCGTCGTCGTCCAAAACCTCAGAGGAGCATGACGTTCACGTATATGAGGTGTCTCCTTGGCCCTTGGTCCACGAGTACAGGAACCAAGAACGTCCTACGCTGAGGCTCTGATGTTCTTTCTATAAATAGCTTGATGAATCTTTTGTTCAGTCCCTGCCAACGGCAGGCAAGTCCGTGTCTCCGCCAGTGCATGCAAGGGTGTCTCGCAGTGGTTTCTGAGTTTTACATCTGGGCCCCTAAAACCAAAGAAAACCTAGCTTTTGTTAGCTTTTCCCAGCCTTCTTAGTAGAAGTAGACGTAGAGTAGAAGTAGAAGTAGAAGCAGAAGTAGCAGTAGAAGTAGACGTAGAAGTATTAAGTAGACGTAGACGTAGGAGGTAGAAGTAGAAGTACAAGCAAAAGTAAAAGTAGCAGGAGGAGGTACTCCGAGGCCTTCAGCATCACAAGCTTCAATGGCTCTGTCCTTCAGGACCGCTCAAGCAAATGCAGAGATAAAGACCCTGAGTGATAAACCCCCTCTCTTTAACTGTCTTAAGGTTAGGATAAATCAACCCCCCTAACTGGAAGGGGTTCTAGCAGAGATTCTAGTATTGAAGCCCTGAGAGGCGTTTAATGAAATCAGGGGTCTACACTCTACACTACCTTTGTCTCACTGGGCGCACTGGCTCTTGCAAGCTGTCCTCAGCCTGGTACGCCTCACTCATCAGCTGAAAGCCAGGGTTTTTATGCCTTCGGGGCTCAGCGTCGAAGAAAGGTTGCTGATGTTGGCTTCAGTTCGAGGCACAAGAGGGGGGCCGAAAGATCTGAGAAAGAAAAGCTGGGCAAAGGTCTTGTAGAGGCTGCATCGAACTTGATACGCCTCCCCGCCTGAGATTGTTGTCACAGAGCCACGCCACTCGAGTAGCAGCCCGCATGAAATCTGGGTTGTAGGTGCCGTTGATGGTGAACCCAGCACATAGGCATCCTGCGGCCGTCCAGTCACTGGACATTCATGGATCCTACCTAGCATGCTGCCTGTCTCTGCCGCGGAAGAGCTTCAACCAAGCAGCCATGTGGGTGGAAGCCAAAGAAGGTTTTTGTAGGCCGAATGTCGTGCAAGGCACCCCGGAGGCCCGTCTCGGTATAAAAGTCCTGGAACAGCACAGACTTCTAAGGTCTGAGCCACACCGGAAACCTGTCTGACAACTTGACTGCAATTGCAATGCTGGTCACTCCTTTATCCATGTGCTGATGAAGTTGAAGTACCAGGGCTGTGAGGAAATAGTTCCTCGGAGATGGCTTAAGCCAACATCCTACATGGACACACCAGCCTTTGCAAGTCAGAGCGGCCTGATCGAGTGACCAGCCAAGTGAGGAACGAAGCGAAGATGGCACCAGCCATCGCCTCTCGTCTGTTGAAAGCAGAAGGCAGGCAGCAAAAGACGAACTGGCATGTTCCGGGCATATGGTAGTGCCACAAAACTCTTGTAGCGCAAGGGTCTGACGTGAAGTCACAGCACGGAGATCTCTCGTCTGTTCGGCTTCTTCAGCCAAGGCACGACACGCTTCTTAGCTCTTGCTGCCAGTAGCATGACAAAAGCACAGAGAACCTGAGCTGACAGATTATCCACGTCGGCTTAAAATCGTGTCAGCCCTCTGTCTCTCTGGGCGGGCAAGGAGCGGGTCGCAGTGTCTTCGGTCCGGCCATGAGACCTGTCCCGACTCCTTGGAAATTCTGGTAAAACAAGGTCTGGTTTAGGGTATAGGGTTTGGGGTTCAAAGACACTGGAGAGAGAGAGAGAGAGGAGATGGAGGGACGGATACAGAGATGCAGACAGACCAAGCGTATGCACACATGCACATACATGCACACAAATCAACACGGATGGACACGTACTGTTGTTGCCATGACTATTGTTAACAGTATTACTGGAAGTCTTCTTATTATGATTATGACAATCCAGCAACATGAATGTCAACATGGTTCTCTTACTTGCTATCGAAAGGCTGCGGTAGTACTAGCATGAACCTGGCTACTTGTTTCTATCATATTGCTACTCTTCCTATCAGTTGTCCAACACCACTAGAGATGTCGTGATGACTACTTCTATCAGTCGAAATACTTACTACGAGCACTACGAGTATGAGTATTATGACTACCGTGCGTATTAATATAGTTTGCCATATTCCTAGTGTTACCATTATTGATTACTCTTGCTTGTACTAATTTTGTTTGAGATGGTACGCTCCATGTGAGCCGAGGAGCCCAAGCTGGCTAGGATGCCTTTGGCTCCGAAGGGTGCTCCGGCGGTGAGCAGGGAGCCCAGCAGCATCCCTGCCCAAGGTGCTAGACTTTTTTGGGGCTTTAGGGTTTTAGGGCTTTTGCACTTTACATCCCTGGCACTTGGCAAAGGAGGGACATAAGGAACTCTACCAGCCAGCTCTCACAAGCAGCATGATGATGAACATCACCACCATTCATTATCTCTAGTCTTACTACTCATCACGACTGCTGCTACCAATCATGATAATAGTACTTCAGCAACTACTGCTACTCCTCCTCCTACTCCTACTTCCACTCCCACTCCTGCTCCTACTGCTACTGCTACTGCCACCACCACCACCACCACCACCACCACCACCACCACGACCACCACCACGACCTGCGACGACGACTACTACTACCGCTTCGACGACGATTCTGACGACTCTTGCAAGCAGGAGGTCATGCGCAAGCGCCGAGCCTGGAGGAAAGACCCACGGAGGGACGAGGAGGAGGTGGGCAATAAGTCCCTTCGTCCATGACTTCACCTCGAAACAACTGGTGCACTTCCAGCCAGGGCCCCAGCAAAGAAAAAAATGGTAATAGCAATCATAGCAGTTATGATAGGAACAGAAATAAGAAGGATACCTAGTTTTATTGCCTTAAGAGTGATATCTACTATGACGCTGATTGTGATGTCAAACCACTACTCTAATAAAATCCAAGTATCGACCTACGGTTGACGATATAAATTCTGCATCACCCACAATAAGGAATATATCATACTTCACATAGTCCAAGGTCATGGAGGTAATGCAGGGTTTAGATCATCAACCCTAAGGGGCAACTCCTTCTGCCAAGGAGCGCGCGCGTCCGGCAAAGCCGCAGCGGTCGCAGCAACGAGAGGTCGGGCGAAGTGGAGGGCCAAGCGCCGGATCCTCTTCGTTGCACTTGAGGGTTTTGGGTTTAGGGTTTAATGGTTGAGGGTTTAGGATTTCATGGTTGAGGGTTGAGGCTTTGGGGTTTGACATTCGTAAGTAAGGTGATTATTTAAGGTTGCCGACAGGGGTAGGGTAAGGGTTGCCATAAGGATTGCTCTAAGCTCACCCTAGTCGCGACACGCAAGTTTGTACAGTGGGCAGGGCCTGTTCTCTTCGGCAGAACCAGGTCTCGAACCTCAGACTGTGGCATCTGATCTCGGCGTAGACTGCTTCAGTTGCACTGAGGACCGCTGAGGCCACCACTGCCGAAGTGTGACCGTGAGTCCACGACGAGGGCTTGGGATGCCATTGTCTGAGTGTCCCTATTGACTGTGGCTGAAGGCTGCACGCTTTAAGGCTTTCGGCCGTCGGAGCTGATCAAAACCGTGAGCCTAGCTAAACCTCGAAGAGCAACTCTGAATCCAAAGCCCTGGGCATTTGCAAGAACACCGCACATTCCATGTATTCCATGTGACAGGCACCTTGATGGCAGATTGGCTGAGGCACAAAAAAGCAGCGCCAAGGACATGGACGCATATCAGATGCCCACCTCTTATCCCTACAAGTGCCCTCGCTGTTTCACCTAGCCACGTGGCTTCAAAAGCACCGACAGTCATGGCGAGCTGGTGGGTTGGGCGGGCAATCCTTGCAACTGTTGTCGTTTGGGGATCTTGATATCACCGCGGCATGTCCAAAATGGGAAGAGAGGCAAGAAGACAGGAGTATGCGCGCAGAAGAGTAGCACCCGAACGAACTTTCAAACCCACCCCCATCCCCACCAACAGAGGAAAAGGCATGCCATTTCCTAAAGTCTCAGCTCCGAACCCTTGAGGAGCTCTTGCCATTGCTCTCGGTCAGCCCAGTCTTCTTGGAACTCATGGCGCAAAGACTCGGAAAAACCCTCGAAGCGGCAAGTCTCAGTGCCAGAGGCACGGTATGTTAAGCGTCTTGGTACTTAGTATAGCGCAGAGCTCGGTATAAGTGCACGGGTGAATTCAATCTCAAGCCTAATTCCACAATTACATCCTCTATCTCTCACACTGACACCTTGAGCAACTTCGGAGGCGGTATGATTTCAAGACCTTCCAAGCAACCTACCTTTGGTTAGTAGGGAATTGGAAGAATGGTAGCAATAGTAGTTATAGTTTTACCACATTCCTCCATTCCCTACTAACCAAAGATAAGGCATTTGCAAATCTGATACCGTATCGTCCGACAGCCAAGGCTCCCACGAGGACTCCTGCAACATGGAATAGCTTTCGACAAGGCTGACAAAAAGCATAGAATAAGCAAACTTCCCCTGCAATTGACTTTGAACGACAAGCACACATGCTTGTCATGCTTACCGAAGTTTCGGGAAATACCTCGTTACTTGCGCGCCTTCCAGCTCTAGCAGAGAGCGGCTTCCGCAGCTCCTCCTTGCTGAAGGCATACTCCTCGTAGTGGCGGGTTTGCAGTATGGCCCTACTTAAAGGATCATGGGACTTAGTAACTAGGGTTATAATTAGGGTAACTATACTTATAACCCAATTAAGGTACTTATAACCTTACTTACTAAGTCCCATGATCCTCCACGTATGCATTGAAGCACAACCAGTCAACACCAGCCCCCGTTTATCTCCTATGTACTGAGGCTGGGCCCCTTCCCCTGCCTACCCACCTTAACCTCTCAAACCCAAACCCCAATCCCCGAAACCGAATGTAGGGGCCGTAATAATTAGAATAGGGTTTTGGGGGGCCTGCTATACTTATAACAAGGACCCTCCAAATTAGTATAGTAAACTGTTTAGGCGCCAAAATGAGCAAGGCTTCTCTGAGCTTCCGGCCCAATGCCGCAGCTGGGTGGCTCCGGCGCAGCCCGATCCCGCCACATTTGCCATGGACTAACAGCAGTAACATTCAGACAGATTTGGGAGTTTGCGAAAATTGGGACGCTGATATGGTAACCTACATAGTAGGATCCTTGTTATGAGGACTCAAAATGAGGTACCCCTAAGTTTCGGAAGCTCCCATTTGGGCTGGGAGTTTCTGTTCGGGGAGCTTAGGGCTTGGGGTCTCAGTGGGGTGGTGCAATAGATGATAAGGTTAGGGTTTTTCCAGATTTTGGAATTTTCGTGGGCTTCAATGCGCACTGGTGCAGCCTGGTGAGCCAACGCGAAAAGCTGGATACACCAGCACACTTACAGTGCCCGTGACGCTGATGGAGTCAGGGTCCAAGATGGGATCCGAATGCCTGGTTGAGAGATAAATCCAAACCCGGGTTTGTCATGAAACCCCGTCTGACATGCCAGTGACAGTAACATCAAAGGTGGACTCACGACCTCAACCGTCGGATAGATAGCATACCGCTTCAGCATCTCTGGTCCATCACCCACCTCAGGCGGCAGCATTGCACGGCACGGCTTTCCACACACACCGGCCACACATCAAAACGCCATGACTGCACCTGCCGTCACATCGGGAAGCTTCCTTCGCCCTGGCATCGGCTAAAACATGCCGAAACTATCTGCATCCTTGGGCAGCGGCTTTGGATGGACTGAAGGTTTCCAGCATCCTGCCACCAACTGAACGGCTGACGGCTGCTATGTGCTCCGACCATACCCGACCATCAATTCAAAATCGTCTTACACCAGATCCTGCTTTTTCTACTATGTTCTATATCTATATATATATATATATATATATATATATATATTAGACTACATTCTATCACATTTTTCTGCTTCCACTCCCCGTTGATCAGATCCTGTATGGATCATGTGATTGGGATCCGGGCCTCATGGCATTGAACGTGGAGGACCGCTTCGCCACACCCGTGTCGCTCTCCCTGAGATGCGAGGAAGTTTTGATGTGCACATGGCCGTTCCGTAAGGCCAGGCGCAGTTCGGAACTCAGCCCTCCGCCCGTTCAGCATGTCCAAGTTTGCAAAGCAATCCCTGACCTGTGACGAAAACTCGTACTACTGTTGATGATACAAATCCTGCATTACCTTCAGGACCCTGAGCCGTGGGAATAATGACACATTCCTTAGTAGGGGTAATGCAGGATTTATATCATCAACCGTATTTTGTGATTCTAGCATGTTCTGGCTGTCGCCAGTGCAAGCGCGGCTTCATGCTGCAGTTTCACTGCGCTTGATCTTTTTGGTGCAGGTCAACAATAAGGCCATGACCAATGAGGGCAGTATCCCTGCGGTTTCCCCATCAGCTAAACCTCAAAGGAAGCAAGGGGCATGGGCAAGATGGTTCAACCAACTTTCGTGCTGCCGTCTCAACATGGCGACTCCGGATTCGAAACACGGGAACACGCCTAAGTTCGCTGCATATGCCGTCCCGGAAAACATCGTAACCGTCCTTGCCCTGACGCAAGTAGTCCTGCATTGTGGGACAGCGACGTGCAGTGCAACACGGACATATGCAGGATCCAACCTGAAACACTCCCACGACACAAGTGCTTTATTTGCAGGGCATGGTGCCCAACATTGCCTTGTGTTTGGAGTCCCACACTGTGGCTTTAGGGGCTGACTTTCCACTGCTGCTCTGACATCTAGAATACCATGAACATCCACTAGCAGAATTTTTATTCATAACAGTAACAGCATTACAAATGCTGTTCATGCTTACAATACCCATATTGCTATTACTATTACGATTACTATTACTATTACTATTACTATTACTATTACTATTACTATTACTATTACCATTACTATTACTAGTACTAGTACTATTGCTATTGCTGGTGCTGGTGCTGTTGCTACTTTTGCTTTTACTATTACTATTACTATTGCTGTTACTGTTACCAGTAAGATGAATGTCTATAGGCTCCTTGGTACAAAGCTTGTAGTTCTTCTCCGGGTCGAGCAGGTCCGGACCAAACCTGGCAGCTTGTGCATGACGCCCCATCATCGAACAACTCTGCGGCGGTTATACTATAATATAGGGGTCTTGGTAATTATCTATGTTATTTTGGGTGGTCATTACGATAATTCTTGTATAATGGGCCCCAAAAGCCTACTCTAATTATCAAGGCCCCTGTATTTCTGAGGCTCCGTCCGCACGCTGCCCTCGACGATGCGCTGGTTCGGCGGCTTCGCCGCATCGAACTGGAAAGACACGCCGCTGACCTGAAAACTCGAGAACTCCACGTTTCAGTCTAATATATATATATATATATATACAGACAAGAGAATAAGAAACATGCAAGTGCCCGGCCCGGAATGAGATCGGGCTTCTTTTGAGCGCGTGGCTTGCGCGAACCGTCCCTCAAGGCGAGGGTATTGCGATACCGAATTCTCCAATGCTTCCAGAACCTGCATCGTGCGTAGCTCCAAGGGTTCTCGCTCTGCTCCAACCGGCTGTCGCATTACAGATGTCGTACCGGTAGCGAGGGACATAAGACTGTGTTCTACTGCAGTGAGTCCGATCCCAAACATGCGCGCATGAACATTGCCAACACTGCCTGTGCACCCGAAAGCTGTAGCAAGCAAAGCTCGTCCAGCATCGGCAGCAAGTTCACGAGATCCCGGACCTTGATCTCACCTCTGGGGCTGTCGTGGGTCACACTTCTCCGTAGCCTATATACGCCTGAATTCTCTGCGAGGGCAACCTTGAGCTAGTGGGGAACCCTAGTCCCACCCAAACCGTCTGAGAAGCTCTACAACTTTCATGGAAGAATTGCTATGCTCCAGACAAACTTTACCATGTGGACTGGACCCGACAAGGCCTATTGTGGCTTACAGTAGGTAGTTTGGATCCCGACTTTCTTCGGTTGTGTTTAGTTTTGCCCCCTTGTAGATTAGTGCCACAGAGACTCTTTCTGTACCGTAAGCCTACCTTCGGTAGGATCCCTACAAACCCTAAACTTAAACCCTAAACCCTAAACCCCACACTAGGGAGTCGAAGAACCGAGCCCGCCTTGCTCGATAACGGCATCTGCCCGAAGGGTTCCACTGTTGAGCATGGCGACATCGGCCTGCCAGCTGTCCACTATACTACACTCTACCGTACTCCATTTATAAACCGTATAGTATAGAAAAGCATTATATATATATATATATATATATATATTTATTTATTTATTTATATTTATTTATTTAGTTAGTTATTTACATTTATTTATATATTTACATATATATATATATATATATATATATTTATGTCATAGTAATACACTATGGCACCGGGACAAAACACACATATGGCACCGAGAGAACATAGCTCCTGGCCTTGAGCGCATGGCGCATGACATCGGTCACAAAGTTACCGATGTTCGTCTCCTTTTGCAGAACTTAAAGGATCATGGGACTTAGTAACTAGGGTTATAATGAGGGTGACTGTACTTATAACTATACTTATAGCCCCAATTAAGGTACTTATAACCTTACTAAGTCCCATGATCCTCCAAGAAGGGCATAAGGGGTTCAGTGGTTTGGCGGTGAGGGTCTCGGGGTGTTGGGGGCTTCCGGGCTCAGGGAACCCAGGAATTCGTTCATGTAAGCCGCGGATAGCCCGTTGAGGATTCATTGACTAATCGTAGTAAGATACAGCACGCATTAAATAGCTCTTCTTAACCAATAACATCTCATGTATCGCATTTCAGTCGCGCGTGTGTGTGTGTGTGTGTGTGTGTATATATATATATATATATATGCATACATGTACATATATGTGACATCATATCATACTCATATATATATATATATATACATACCTGTGTATACATATATGTATATATTCATATATAGCATAAAGTCGCGCAGCCTTCGACCATCTCCAGTGTTCCCTCCCCGGTGCTTAGTAGGGAATGGGGGAATGAATCACTATAGTAGTCTCTCAGTCTCCATATAATCCCCAATAGTACCATTCCCTCATTCCCTGCTAAGAACCAGACAGTTATCGTTGAACTCCTTTTCCGACTGCTTCGGGTCTCCCCTACACACTCGGAAGGTCTGGGAGTTTAGGGTTTAGGGCTCAGATTCATCATCCGGCCATTCGTACGAGTGGTAGTTGAGGAAGAGTTGTTCGCACGGCTTTGGGAGATTGGCCTCCTTGGCACGACTGTCATGCTCCTATTCTCAACTGTAACTGTGCTGGAACAGCCTTCGTCCGGATAGAAGCAAAGCGAGAATCCAGATCCACCTGAGGTCAAACGGCATCAGTGCTACACACGGGCAGAATCTCAGAAAGCGAGATGCATTTCACCACGGCATAGCGCACCCCAGTCCAGATTAGAACCCTAAACCCTACACCCCCCCCCCCCCTGCAGGGACATGGCCCTCTGCTATGAGGCGGGAAGGGATCTAAGGCTCCGAGGGCCCCGCCGCTGTGGCGCCGACCACAAGATCCATGGCCTAAGCATTTGCCGGTGTGAGAAACAAGAATCACAATGGCAACACGAATACTAAGATGCACAAAAAGCCGCTAATATCAGAAAGCCGCTAATATCAGAACCACTGTGTCGGCTCAGCAGTTCCTTTCCCTCAGTCGGCATGCACCGGGTGCCAAGTCTACTGCTGCACCCAACTTGGACATGCAGCCGTCGACGAAGACCTTCATCTCGGGGTCCTAGCAGCAGGTCTGAGGAGCACTCCACAGTCGCACACGGCGGAAGAATCGAATAAGGAGCTCGAGCTCTTATGCAGCCAAGGCCCAACCCTAAACCCCAGAAACCCCGATTCCCTAAACCCTAAAGGCCCTAAACCCCACAAAAAGGATGAGCTTTTGCGCTACTCTTCGCCTTACGCTCTCCTGCCTTCCGGAAAAAGCTTCACCTGGAAACCCCCCAGGAGACCCTAAACAACCCCAAACCCCAAACCCCTGCCATCTGCAGCCTCTCTTGAGCCTTTTCCTGTCAGCGGAAGAACGCACAGGCCTTCTTGGACGGGGAGCTCTCTCTTTCGGATCTGAGGCACGCGTAGATTAGGACCGAAAGCCTGGAAATGCTCTACGTCATGCCGTAGGGCTCGTTATTCGTAATGCTACTCTGTTTTATAACCCTAAACCCTAAACCCTTATACATCTGAACTATGTATAGTTTGGAGTACTCCGAACCATGTTCTATTTGTGAAGGCCCGCATGATTGTTCAAATTGCAGGCATCGGCTGCCCAAGCGATACATCGAACTACTAAGGGGTCACTGAGCTTCCGCACCCAGTGCCGCGAGGTTGCGGGTGCTGTCAGGTCACTTTAGATCGTTCTACAATGCTCTTTTTTGGATAAGCAAGAGGTAGCTCTAGGATCTACGTGATCATTAACTTCCCTTTTAAGACTCCATGTTGTAGCACTCCGCGGCTGCTCTTGGTCGCTTGGCTCCCAAGTCATGCAGAAGCGAATGAGACTGCATGGGAACTTTGCAGTCAGAAGCACGTGGTCCAGACCATTGCCATAAAACTCTGGAAGCACAAACAGATGGCTTGGGATCAGCTTTCCGAGGTCTTCGAGTGGATAAAGTCCGTCATCGATTTGAGGTTCCTCAGCGTCAGCTGCTTGGCTAAATTGACACCTCTGGGACACGTCGGGGACACGTCTGGGACACTCCGGGACACTCTGGGACGCGGGCGGATAATCGAAAACCATGGAAGCAGGCAAATTGATGCCCGGAACCAGGTTTCGGACCTGGCGCTAAAAGTCGTCAACAGGCACAACGTGCTGGTTTGGGTTTAAGGCGTATTCGTAGGGCCAATTAGGGCTTACTGCTTGCACGGAGGAAGATGCATTACATCCCTGGCAGTAGCCTGCCTGGTTGCGGAACTCCACGCTGGAAAGACTGTCCATTCCCGCTTCCATAAGAGGCGAATCCATCTGGGCACGAGCAGATGTCTCTCATGATGCAGATCACTACGTCACTACGTGACGCATTGACTCAGAGACAGTCATGAGAAAAGGCAAAAGGCATAGAGTCGTCATGAGAAAGAGGCCTGGGGAGAGCGCAAGAGAGGATTAGCTTCGCGCCCTCTGGCCAAGGTCAGGGAAGCCTACTGTCAGACCTGATTAGTATAGGGGCCTCAGTAACTAGCCTCGGGTTTGTGGGGCAATTGGTGAGGGATGTCATAAATTTACGAAGATTACAAGAGGATGTTATTACTATTATTTTTAATATTGTTATTATTGATATTACTTCATTATTACTATTACTATGATTATTATCATTATCATTAGTAATTACCCGCTCTGGGAAGCCCCAACACTGAGGACCCAGCATCAATGTCGTCGCCGACAACGTTCTTGGACAAGTTTCGCAAACCCTCCATGATGAACTCCTCCAAATTGGTGGAACATGATCAAGCTCTATCAACACCGGACACCGTTCTCCTCTCCAGTCTAGGCAAACATGAGTGAACTTCCGGCGCTTTCGCACTGAAGCGCACAGCACAATGACTAGTTGTCCCTGAGAAATGCTGTCCCGCGTAGGACCAGCTGACACTGCCATGGCCACAGAAGATGCAGCTGCCGCCGCCGGCATCGCAGTCTGGCCGGGCGACAATGTGCACTGCAACGTTTGCAAGAAGCTTCGCAGCTCGCTTACTTGACAAATCTGGAGCACGATCTGCAATAGATATACCATGATATACCATAATATACCACAATATACCATAATATGCCGGAACATACCATAACATAACATTATGTACTATGTTATGTTATGATATATTATAATATACTATAATATACTATAATAGACTGTAATATACTGTAATACTAACCCATGAATGCAAAACATGTCGTTGCCTCGTAGGCAGGCATAGGGGCACCTGACGCTGGTGCCTTGGGCTGGTATGAAGCATGATTTGCGGCCAGAATTACTACAGGGGCCTTAATAATTAGAATAGGGTTTGGGCGCCCATTATACTGCTTTAATCGGAACCCCTAAAATAGTATAGATAATCATCAAGTCATTGAGGCCCCGGTGCTCAAATCCCGACCCAGAAGTCTGGAACATCTTACAAAACATCGCTGCAGCTTCGGGCATCACAACTTGGAGAATGCCTCACCAGTAAAGTCCCGTGCAGCACGGAATAAACAGAGTCGAGTCACAACACCTCCTCTTGACGTGCCATACATCTGGTCCAGAATGCTCTTGGCATACTCCTTGCACTCCGGTCAAAGAGTGCCGATGAAGGGCTTAGGGCTACCGAGCGTCTTTGCACAATGCACTGGCGTCAGAGAAACCGCAGACTGAAGCCCCTCGAGCTTGCCGAAAGAGGGCGACATGTTCCAGCGTGATTTGACTTCAGAGACTCAAGGCACGCGACGCTGCAAGGCACCACGAAAACTGATGTTCTAATGTGGTGCTTGCAACCCTACACGCGAAACCTCAACCCGAAAAGCCCTCTAGAGCCGAAATCGCTAAACTCCAAACCCTAATCCGAACACCTAGGCCCTAAACCCCAAAGCCTACACCCCAAACCCAAAGCCCCAAGCCCGAAACCCCTAAAACCTCTACACCCTACAAAGCCTAAACCCCCGAACCCCCTTTGCCCTCTATAGACCCTACTCCCCGAAGCCCTGCCTCACCCTCCGCATCCCGCAGTTCACGGAAGATGGCCAGGGCCTGCTTGGCCTGCACAGAGCGTCTTTGCAACGATTCAGGGTTCAGGAGTTTAGGGTTTTGGGTTTAGGGGTTTTGGGTTTAGGGGTTTAGGGTTTAGGGTTCAGGGTTCAGGAGTTTAGGGTTTTGGGTTTAGGGGTTTTGGGTTTAGGACTCCGGTTTAGAGTTTGGGACGATTAAAACCAAGGTAGCGGCTTCGGTAGGGCGCCATGCGTTCTACGGCATTGGCGAACTATGCGTTTCGAGGCTACGCGCTTCAACATGTAGGAAAACACGCATCGCGAATCAGGGTTATCATGAACATGGCACCCAGTAGTAGGGAATGGGGGGATGGATCCCTATAGTAGTCCCGATATAATCCCTAATAGTGGTCTCCAGAATCCATTCCCCCATTCCCTACTAAGAACCAGGGA